GCAGCCCCTCCTGTGTTTCAGCTGCTTCTGTTGGTGCCTGCTGCTTTGCTGGGTCATCTGGTGATCCGGATACACGTTGATCTGCCATAGGTGCTGCTGCTGTCTCTGCCGCTTCCTCCAAAGCCGTGCTGGATGTGTTGTGCAGCTCCTGTGTTGTGGCTGCTGCTGTTGGTGCCTGTTGCTCTGCGGTGTCATCTGGCAATCCGCCCCTGTGTTCGGGGGATACGGGTTTATCTGACATAGACGCTGCTGCTGATGCTGTGATGCGGCTTGAAACCTTCTTCTGAACTAGCCAGTGTACAAACAGCTTGAAATCATCGACTGGGTTGTTTGGCTTGGTGTCTTGGAGGATCTTGTATTCCTTCAGCATTGGACATTCCACTGCCTGTTGCATCAGGCTTGCGAGGTCGCCATCATCTAGTGATTTCCAGGATTCTTGCAATTTGGTTTTCCAGTCCCCCTCTGACTGGAAACCATTGACAAAGGAATCGAGCGTGACTGTGCCCACGGGACTTGGAGGGCCTTCTTCTTTGCAAATCACATCCCCAGCAAAAGAGTCCTCTTGAGGCTCTTGCTTTGGGATCATGATCATGAAATCGCTGATCAGCGGACCCCCACTACCCTTACGATCATTTGGTAACGCTGCAGAGTCATTGCCATCATGACTTGTCTTTTGTCTCTTGACATTGGCTTCGAGTCGCTCGTCTTGTGGTGGAGGAGCAGGAGCAAAAGCCTTGGCCTTGGCCTTGGTCTTGGCTTTAGCCTTGACCGCTGCAGGTTTTGGTACTGCCTTCGCTACCGACAGCTTTGGTTTTCTTCCTGCTGCTTTTGCTGCGATTCCTGCTGGAGAACACTTCTTGGGCGCCATCACAAAACCAAATGCAAACTAGAATGACAATAGAAGATACTTGAAATCAATACAATAAATCTCTGACCTAGTTTTGTGGTCGTAGTCTTAGTTTCCTTTGTCTCTCCCTCTGTTTGTTTGTCTCTCTGTGACCTAGTCGTGTGCTGGTCAAAAGGGGCAACAAAGCCAGGGCATGTAGAAAACATGAAAAAAAAGCACTGAGGCAGCAACTGTGACAAAAACAGCATCAAACAAACCAGTTCAATTCATTCCATTCTCTCCACTTTTGTTCTCCACTAATGTCTACTTGACTTCACGGTGATCGGCGGCTTCCGACTATTGCATTCAAACATGCTTTGCGATTTTGAGAAAGACTCCCATTCCTTTGAAGAAGATTTCTGAATTGAATTAAGTAACATAATAAACAAAACATACAAATGGATCAGTGGGCAGCAATCAATGATATATAGGCAGGTTCATTGATGGAAAAGGCAAGTCTAAAGAACTTACAGCTTTGGAATCGGGAGGAAGTGTGCGATGGGACTAGAGCAACCGGCCATACATGCAGACATCCTGGAACACCCCAAGCCAGAAGGTGCTACACAGGCGCGGGTTGCAAGGAAAGTATTGTGAAGGCCATCTCATGAATCCTGAATTAACTCAAGGAGTATTTACCTTGATGGTGAGATGCTCTCACTCCAATCACTTCTTTTTGGAAGCAGCCACCAGTCGCTTCTCAAGCTCATCCGCCCGTGTCTGGATTCCCTCTGGTAGGATGATAGAGTGCCCTTCCATGTACTCGAACATGGCTTTCAAGCTGGGCAGCAGTGCTGCCGAGGAATTTTCAGCAGCCTTGCAAGACAAGATTCGGAGAATAGTTGAAGTTGCCAACGCTTGCCGGCCATCAGCGACACGGGATAGTGCCAAGGTCTGGTCTCCTTGTAGTAATTCGCTAATCTCCATACCCATGTTTTGGCATACCTGTTCCGCAGTCTTGATGGCATTCTCAACTTCTGTGGCAGCAGCAGTGATGGCCTTGTGTAAGGTGCTGTTGTTGCCCAAAAGTTCTGCTTGAAACTCCTTCTCTTTCTCGGGCGTGTACTCCGGCAAAGGGAAGTGCTTGTTCAGCTTGGCCATTGCATTGGACAGATTGTCCCGACAAAGCTTTGACAACGTCAGCAACTTCTTCTCAAAATAGGTAAACAGCCTCTCCTGAGGTAAGGCATCAAATGCCGCCAATATTGTGAGAATCACAATAGTAATGATTTATTATCTATTTGATCTGTGGTCTATGTCACATGTCTATGATACGATCTATCTATATAAAAAATATCCAACAGTTGAAACATACATATTCATATGGACCAAATCTGGCAAAGATCAAAGAAATGCACGAAGACCGCTTCAGTGACGCCATCACCTGTCTTGCCAGGGACCAGCACTGGGAAGAGGCGATGTCCGGCTGACCTCAGCCCACCAACTCACGACAAAACTATAGACTACAGACTATACTATAGGCTAACTGTCAGGCCAAAAAAATATACACAGCTATCAATGCACCAACGAAAGACAAAGGTTTCTGCAACAAACTGCAAGAAGCCTACAAGCCTCAGTTTTGATGCCCATAGTCAGCGTGGGTTTGGACTCCTCCGCCAAATCCAACACCGCCTTGAACATGTCAAAGAAGTTTCTCATTGTTTTGCCCATAGACGGCAACATGTCAACCTCTTCAGACTCTTTGATGATCTTGAGAGAATTGAAGGCATCCATCTGAAACTTCATGTAGCTGGTGGCGGTTTGCAAATTCATCTTTGTGTCTGATTCACCCATTCCGGTGACAATAAAGCCTGCATCGTTGCAGATCTCCATCAAAGAGGAAATGTCAAGAGAAGTGGCAGCAAGCGCTTTTAGTAGGCCCGAATCAGCTTCAGCTGCCTTCCGCACAATCTCAAGAAGGACACTGATTGGCTTTTCCATCATGGTAACCCAGGCTGACTGAAAGCAAGTGCCAACTTTCCGTTGCAAATGAGTACTGAGACAAGTAAGCGCTTCAATGAAAGTCGGACTGGTGTCTCTCAGTTTCTGAACCAAAGAAGACTGGCTGTTCCTCCAAACAGAAAAGCTGGAGCACAACGTCGTTGCCTTGTTCCGATCCAAGGAAGCTGCTTCTGCAAAAGCAGCATTCAAACACTTACCAAGCTCAGCAGTTGCATCATGGAAGGTGATGACAAGGCAAATCAGTTCTTCTGCACCGGAAGCATATTTGGCTTCCACACCACGCAACCGCAAAATGTGCCATGCCGGAACACTGTCCAAGGAAAATACGGTGTCATTCTCTTCCTTCTCTGCCCTCCGACATTGTTGTCCTACCCACTCGAGACTTTCTGTTGCCAAATGAGACTTGGCAAGGTCCGCTATGAACTCGGAGAGGGCATTGGATGCATCCTTCTTGGCAGCCACTGTGGAGGCATGTGTTGAGTCAAGCCCAACACTTGGGGATGAAGCTGCTGCGGCATACTCCTTAGCCAACCGCCATGATTCATCCACCAACATCTTCATATCAGGTGGCTGGCGACCTGAATCGAAGGATTCCGAGAACGCTGCGCACTCTGCCCGCACAGTATCAAACTTCAATAGGTGCTCATTGGCCTTCAGCTTCTTTTGACACGACTCATCTGCCAACTCCAAGAACCGCTTGCCCTGGGGCAAAGCATTGAAGGTTGCCAGAATCATGCGATCTGCTGAAGCTGATTCCTTTACCTCCTGCACGGCTTTGGATGTTTTTGTCGGGCTTGTTGATGATGCCTTCAGAATGCTCAAAATGTGACCAAAATCCTCTGAAGATTGCTTGTCGGGCAGTTTTTCCACGAAAGACATCTTCTCCACAAAGGTCACCAATGGTTCAAAGGAAGCTTCAATAGACTCGGAGGGCTCCAGACTAACCTGAGATGGAAAAAATAATAGCAAATGGCTGAAGCATTGATGAAACAACAACTCAATGAATCGTTCCCCATCAAACATTTAATTTCGATCGGCTCACAGCATACTCAGTTGATTTACACAACACACACAGAGTTTTGTTTTGCAGGCGAGTAGCCTGCTCTAATGGAATGGCCTTGAGAAGTTTCTGCAGGTTCACATTCATACACTGAACCATAAAAGCAACGCAGTCCATTCCTGAGCAACTTCGTTGAATGAATTTGAATGTGACTTCCTGCATCTCTTCCCATCTCTTCCATTTCAAGTCATCCAGCCACATCATGCGAGTAACCATCTTGAACACGGACGGGCTGAAGTTGCCGCCGTGGTCAACCAGCATGTCGATCTTGGCATAGCAAAGGTCCCCAACATTGCCATGACTAGTTGAGCACGGCTTTTGCATCAGCTTGACAAAGTCAATCAAGAGTTGTAGTTTTTCCTCAATCTCTGTGGCGTCGTTCATAGCTCCCTCTCGTGTCTCCTCTGTTCGTCTTTTGAGGCTTCTCTTCCGAGCCCGCACACTTGTCATCAGTGATGTCGCCCTCTTGAGGCTGTCGGCCAGGCAATTCTTCATCTCAAGGTCTTCATTGCCAGGCTGGATGCTGAGTGCAGCCCTTAAGCTGGCTTTGGCATTGTCCAGCCATGTCTTGTCTGCCTCCGCCATCTGGTTGGAAGCAGCCACATTGTCTGTTCTATGTGTCTTGCCTGGTGCTGCAACTGGTTCCAATGATGTGATGAGACGTGCTTTTTTGGCCCCAGTTTCATCATCACCTGTGGTTCCATCGGTTCTCTTTTTCGGTCCTGACTTTGGTTTGGCACCTGCTTTGCCTTTTGGCTTGGCCTCTGGGATCTTGTTCTCCTTCTCATGTGAAGATGGCTTGAAGGAAGCCAAGAGTGCAATAGCAGAAGGCCTTTCATCGCTTGGAGTTTGACCTTGAACAGGTTGGGAAGGTGTATGGCCACGTACGGTAGACTTGGTGTCTGAATGGTGTACATCATCAACGTCATTCTCATCATCCTTGTCGAGAAGCTTGGAGATGTTGGACAGGGCGCTCATAGATGGAGTGTTGGTGACACGCCGTGTCTGATCACTCAGGACAGCCCTTTTGGCATGTTCATATGTCTTATCCACTAATCCATCCACTAATTGCAAAGCATCATTGTCTATGAGCTCATGCTTGCGCTTGACTGTGGTGGTGCTTTTTGCCTCGAGTCGGTAGATACCGTGTTGCCCATCATCCCACATCTGTGACCAATGTCGACCACACACTGTCACCTGAGTCATACAGGTGTACAGAACAGTATAATAGTCTTGGTCTATGTTCGTGTCTTTATGGGTCTTGGTCTATGTTTGTAGCGATCGGCGATGCTAACTAAGTACCTCTTTCAAAAGCCAAGAAACTCCTGGCACTTGAGCCCCCTGGAACTTCTTGTATTCAATTTTGCTGTCATCAGGCTTTGAGACAAGTGAAGTATAGACCGACAATTCAATGAAGAACTGTAATGGAGCCGTTAGCTCATCAGCATTGTCCTCATGGATCTCCACTGTCCTTAAGTGAGGACATGATGTGTGTTTGTGCTTGTATGTTTGTGGCAGCTGTGTGAGAATTCAACACCGATGTTGAACATTAAGACCAGGCTCGTTCTTGGTCCCAACTGTGAGGCATCGCGGATGCGGCAATTAGGATTCGCAATCCGGAGTTCTATCAAACAAGTCCTTTGTCTAATCCACCTAAGTTCAGGTGACTATCACAAGTCTAACTGAAAACAGTACACACAGCAACAAGTCAGCACATATATTACATTGATGCTGCTGCACTACTATGTGCAACCAAAACCACGCGTGCAGCCTGGTAGGGTTCTGTTTGAAATGTATGGCACACTTCTTCATAGAGCCCAATTCCAATTCCCAACCTCCTCCGCTGTGAACCTAAAAAACAGTTCAGAGAGAGAGAGAGGGACAATAACATGTGACAAAAACATAGTCAAAGAACAGACAGACACTTGCCAAGTAGCATTGACACACAGTAGACAATTTGGCC